AATTATTTAGGCCCCTATTTTACCCCGTTTAGTGTCTCTTACAGTATGGAGGCTTACTGAGTACCGTGAGGCCAACCGGGACCTGGCCTCGGTACCCTTGGATCCAAAGCCCTGGGAGCCTCCTTTCTCTAGGGGCCCTTCTAATAGTCAGAATCGGGCTTCTTTGTATATGTATATATGTAGAGAGAGAGAGTATTATGTTATTTCTGTGTATCTAGTATGTATATGTATGTGTGTATACATATATATATATATACATATATATATATATAAGAGAGCTTTATTGCAGCAAGGAGCTCCCTAAGGCCCTGAGGAAAATTATGGCGAGTTATGTCGGCCTCCATATGGTCCCAGAGTACGCTTCTGACCTCCGGACTGGGCTGCAGAGCTCCAGGCAGGGTGCTAGGATGGGTACGAGGGTGGCGGAGCCGCCTTACGGCTCCTCTTCACTTCAAGCAGCAACCCGAGATCCAACACAACCGACCTTGCGACAACATCCAAACTCTAAATACAACTCCGACAGGCCAATGATGCAGGAAGGATCTGGCGAAGCGACACCCGAACCCTCCAGAACTGATGGCCTGCACCCCTGGTCCCCAAGCTGAAGTCAAGATGCGAGCTCGCACGGCTGAGCGAAAGCCGTCCGCTACTGTCGCTGCAGAGCTTGCGCCTGGGCTAATCTTAGTGTCATCCCACGACTTCTACCAATTGCTGCCACGGTCATCGGAAGGTGGGGCCGGGGCAGCGTCTCGCGGAGGACTGGCGAGTCAGATGGGTTCGACCTCAGGATGCTGCGGCAGATGCACGTGGCACCGGGCGGAATCTCATTTGGAAAACGTCTCACAGACCCATGGACTGGTTCTGTTTCTCGTCACGCAATGACGCCAAACGCACACCTGTCCGCCCTTGGATAGAGTCGTAGCCCCATCAACTGTATCAAGTTCCGCGCCCTGCTCCGACTATGATGACATATCAACCAGGTGACAAGAGCGTGTTCAGCGCAAAGGGGTACACCTCTCATGGCACAGCACATGTTGCGATGTCTGGGCCACGGAGATGGCTATGTTCTGTAGCGAAGGGAACACAAATGTGTCTCGGCAGCGTGGCAAGACTGTGACGTTATGCAGGCTGTTACCATCTTGGGCACAAGAACGGAGATACTGCTGCTACAGCACAATTAATCTCTTGAGGTATGCCTTCTGCAGGATGTTGAATTTCGGGTCGACGGTTCGTGCCATTCCTGTTCAGGCGCGCCCGCTGCACAAGCTCGTCAGGTGCTGCACAGGGGCACTTGTCTTTGCTTGTGACTAGTGCTAGGACACCAACGATCATCTGCCTATCTCTGTCTCTGCCCTAGCATGCCCTAGCCACTCTACCTAAACTCTCTCCCATGGCATCCCATGGCAGCCTTCCAGACAGCCGAGCGCCCTCGCATTGTTCAAGAAGTAGGGCGGCAGTTGGAACTCGTACCTGCCCAGTATCCCCGAAGCCTAATAACCGGGTAGGAGTCGTTTGGCTCCTCGAA